GTATACAACAGTTCGACACCGCCCACCGTAACAATAAAGAGGAGCATTGTAGACTGTTTTCTGCTGACGTGCGGCTCTTTCGGTTGGTCACTGCTGAATCTACAAAAATTCTGTGTTCGCGTATGTTTCTGACAAGAGATAACGAAAAATTAAGGGATAGCATGCCAGTGAATGTACGACGAAAGATTTCTGCACCTGTGAGGATCTTTCAATAACTCTGAATTCTGAGAATGGGAGAAGGATGCCGCATCTAGAAACTCAAATAGAAACAATGAGGGCAACCCACAAAGCACGGTAAAATTTTTTCAGTCGTGTCGTCTACCACCGAACAGAGGACAATAAATGAGGGAAAAACAAACATTTACAATGAGGTAGCTGAACTAAAACGGTGATGCATGATGCTGTCGGTGAATGGGCAGTTTTTCTTTTTAAACTAACTTATGACATAACTTGTGATATAATTACTGAGATGTCGCCTCAATACTCGATGCATCGAAACTGTTCGGCAACAGCGTAGTCATTAGTGCATATGCTGAAAAGAAAACAAAATGTGTAAGTACACGAGACAGACTCTTACGATGGCGCTGATGTCTTCCTTCTAATCTTGACGTCTTGGGCTTCAACCATAAGTTAAGCAGTACATAATGCAACTACACATCACAGTCCACATATTACATTATTACTGCATCGAAGACGACGCCGGATGCCGTGTATTCATTCAACATGGACTGAATAAATGCGTGAACATCTATCAGTTCTTTTGATGTTATGCCAGTTCTAACATGACCTTATCATCTTGTTAGAGGTATTCCTGGCGGCCGTCCGCCATCTGGCTTTAAGTGCAGCACTCCTGTTGCAAGGCGGCATTCGTACATTTACTGTCAATGGCTTCATCACCTTAAGTTCTTTCGTTGCAGCCAATCGGCACTTTAGCTGGATATTCTAATCGCTCTCTTACCTCTGACATTATATCGTTCCACTTTATTTCTAATTTAATCTTATAATCTCAATTTTTGTCGCTTCCAGCTTTTGTTTTCAGCTTTGTTAAGTGCTGCTGTTTAAAGGGTAGGGAAAAATGTTCAGAATGCAAGACCTGTAAATGTGTATGCCCACAACTTTGTGCTACTGTCAGCATATCATTATAATATAAATAGCAAATTCCTTCGTAAATTAACGAAAACACGCCCTTTCATACCCTCCCATCTTTTGGTTTCGCGTAAACTACTTGCGATGATCATTTGACTGTATGGAAAAAAACCACAGCACACATGCTGATGAACATTTACCATGAATAGAGTAGGAGAACACGATGCTGACGCTCTCGACGAGTCGAAAATCAAACCGCTAATGTTCAGTTAGACTGAAAACTATTTCCGATTTGACGTAAACGATGCTCAGGCTGTGAAATACCTTCTGTCATTACATCACAGGATGCCACCTGGAAGCTGCTTTGTGTGGTTTTCCGGTCGCTTTCTTAACAAGCAGTATGTTATGCATCCTTCTATACAGGAAACGATCTCTGCGGTTTCTGTTACAATGTGACTTTCTACGGCGTTTTCTTACCGAGGAACAGACTTCTACGATCTTCAAAATCTTCACATCATCTAAAAATTGCTACACAGTTGGTTCCCTTATTTCCTTCATTCCCTTCCGATGCTTACATTCGCATATCAATGAATGATTCCAAACTTTTCATGGTTAACTGAACATTATAATATGCTTGTTTAAAACTGTATTAAAAAGTGGGTACTCAACGCTTACCGGTGACCGACTGCTGCACGTCGGTCGCCGCTACATGAGTAGCGCTTCGTGGCGGTAAGGATAGTACAGGCGACAGCGGAATGTATTTGTATGCGCACCACATACGGTAGGACCACAGCCATAAACCAACGGCAGATGCATATTCACCAGCACTGCCGTACTGATAGCCAGCGACTGATGGAGTGTCACAAGCAAAAGAGGTTAAAGCTGCGCTAGCACGTGAGCTGTCCTCAGAACGTGCTGACACGCGCCTCCTCGTCGTCTCCATTTTCTTAGAAACGTTTCTTCCTCGCGGCGAGTTCTAAATTAGATAATTAAATGGCCGCCCTATTTGTGCGACAAATTAACACAGTGACTGAGCTAAAAACTGACAGTTGACAACGTGTCAAAAAGAATCGCGTAAGACTGCAGAGAAATGTTCATAACATTCAGCCATTCATCTAGGCGAACGGATGATTCAGAACTCTGGATGGCACCCTAAAACAAATAAAACACTAGAGGTACGAATAAGCATAAGCAACGTCTGCTGGGTTCGCATGTGACCGCGTGCGTTCGGCTTGTTAGCCAACATATGCAGTTATAAACAGGCGAACTCGAGCACGGGCTTACGAGTTCAAACGGGCATACCTCACATTATATTGGGGCGCAGTGGCATACGGGCAAAGAGTTCGACATTGAACTCCAGGTGCCGGATTCTAATTTATTCAAGGAATCTTCACCGTGAATACCCTTCGGCAAGGAATTAACCATACGTTGTTTCGGCGAAATCAGCCAAGAAACGGGTAGTAAGTCTGCGAACTGCAAATCAGAGGGACCGCATGGTATGCTGGCATGTTCATGCCAAAATAGAATTGGTATACTAACATGCAGTAAAACTGAGGCGCCCCTTGTGGCTGTACTTTTCCTTGACCCACTTGATAGCTCATTATCCAGTGTAATAATCAGCACAAGTGTAACCCTGATATAGATCTCGATATTGGCCGCTTATTCGTTTGCAATCGCATACTCTGCCATCGCATAACTGATCGACAAGAAGAAACGCAGAGCAAGTTTCTCT